AGTCCTCGCCATTGCACCGCAATCCGGCCGGGGCCCGGGTTTGCCGGGCGTGTGAGGTGGGGTCCGCGCTTCGTCGTTTCTCATGGAAAAAAAGATCCTCAGGGCGTGGGTGATATCCCCATGTGTGTCTGCCCCGCTCGGCCCGTGTCGGCCCCTTGTCGGCACACGTTGACGCCAACACGCGCTCTTAGGATGATCGGTCCTCGGCTCGGTGCCCCTCAGATCTCACCCCAACAGAATCGCATGGATTTCGCGCCGCAGGTTGTCGCCCTTGGGGGCCCGTGGCCCTGAGCGAGCACTGGGGGCGCTCATGCGGTCAGAACGCGGACAGGGGGGTTAATTTCGGCTCAGGAAAGGCTCTAGTTTTCGGGCCGCTCCTTCGATCAGGGTCGGGGAACCTGGTAGTGGCCGAGGCGTGCCGTGGCCACAAAAAAAGCCCCGTCGTTCCTGGTGTTCGGCGATCCTTCTGGTGGCACGATGACCTGTGCCACTCGGAGATGTCTACCGGACTGGCCCACTGCAGGGCGCCGCAGATCTGAGAGGCGGTGCGCGCCCGCGCCCCCCCCGCTTTCGCAGAGGCCTCTTCCGGGGGCAGCATGCTCAGTTTGAGTCGGCAAGATGCCCATGAGCTGCCATGGGGAGAGGAGCCCCAGTTCCAGCTTGACTGAGGAGGAGGAGGAGGAGGAGGAGGAGGAGGAGGAGGAGGAGGAGGGTGCGGCGGGGGTGGGGGACCAGGAGGACCAGCAGCAGGAGAGGAGGAGGACCAGCAGCAGGAGAGGAGCCCCAGCTCCAGCTTGACTGAGGAGGAGGAGGAGGAGGAGGAGGAGGAAGAAGAAGAAGAAGAGGAGGAGGGAGAAGAGGAGGATGTGGCGGGCGGCGGGGGACCGGGAGGACCAGCAGCATGAGAGGAGGAGGAGGAGGAGGAGGAGAATCAGAGTGTGGAACTCTAATGCGAGGTCCCACTGCGAAAAGGAACCGCTCTCCAGTCGTTCAATCTGCCAGTCGTCAGATTTGAGGATGCTCAAGCGAGAGACACATGCTGCAATCGCTAAAGGCGAATGCGTGCGGCGCTCCGGCGAGAGGCCAGTCTTGAAAAGGAGCCGCTCTCCACGCTGGAAACAGACGTTGTGACGGCTGCGTGCGCCACGTTGGGGCGAGAGCCCGCATTAAAACAAGACACACCACCCCTCAATCATGGCAGACGGTGCAAACGTGTCAGGCGAATGTGCGCGGCGATCAGGCGGCAGTCCCATTTTGACAGCCATCCCCAGTCGTCCGTGTAACAGTTCGCCCCAGGAGCATGCATGGTGAGGAGTGCTCAGGCGGAGCCCCTGGCCCTGCCCACCCGACACGTGTGTGGGCGCGACAGGGCGGAGTCCTTTAGAAGGTTGGGGGATGGAGGAGGAGGAGGAGGAGGAGGAGGAGGAGAACGTGAGGAGGTGCGCGCTGCTGCTGGCCTACACCATCCTGCCAGTTTCGTCGAAGTCCAAGGGGCAGCCAGTGGCTGGGCACAGACCGTGCCGCCACATGGGGTGAGAGGATTGGAATGGGGAGGAGAAGACGGAGGACAAGAGCAGTGTAAAACCTCTGGGTCTCCCAGATGGGATTCGGAGTAAATGGTGCCAGAGGATCGCGCCGCGTCGCCGATGCATCGGCCATGCGGCTCGATGTGGAGCCCGATTCTCTCCGCGCCGACTTTGCTGATGCACCGCATGAATCGCCGATGCATCGGTGATACATCGACGATGCAGCTTGATCCCCCGACCCCATCTACTCCGACCCCATCTGGGAGACATCTGAAAATCCTTGGATGCGGGAAGGATATTGCAACGAAGTCTCCAGTCCAACTTCCCCTCCTCACCAGTCCGTGCAACCATCCCTTCTTATAACGCGAAGCGCCCCCTTCAAAAACGAGAGCCTGATAAGCCTGCCATTCAGGCGAGAATGCCCCCCATCGTTTTGGAGGACGAAAGGAAGGATAGATTAGAATGACGGGTGGGGACGAGCGTAATTCCCCAAGCGAGGATTGGGGTGCGCGCATATTCTGGAAAGAAATGGAGCAATTTTCTGCGAGTACTCGTTCTTGCCCTGGTGCTCTATGGCTGTTGCTCTATGGCTAGCACTGTAATTTACATGAGCTGCGGTTTCGCGTTCTCGCTCTGAAGCTCCATGGCCAGTGCTCTATGATGCTTCATTTGCTGCGAGTTCTCGCCCTGGTACCCCACGGGTGGTGCCGTAAGGCTGGTTCTCACGCCAGGGAATTTGTTGAGGGCAATCAGGCTCATCAATTCATCCTTTACCGTCCCGCCCACCCGACCCGACCCGCCCGTCAGGACCCGCCCGCCCGACCCGACCCGACCCGCTAGGGTCCGCCCGCCCGACCCGACCCGCCCGTTAGGGCTCGCGTCGGCGCAACCAGCGCCGGCGAAACCAGCGCCGACGAAACCAGCCGCCGGCGAAACCAGCCGCTGGCGAAACCAGCCGGGCGAAACCAGCGCCGGCGAAACCAGCGCCGGCGAAACCAGCCGTCGGCGAAACCAGCGGGGCGAAGCCAGCGCTGGCGAAACCAGCGCCGGCGAAACCAGCTCATGCCGCCGTCGCGACGGCAGGGCGCGTCAAGCATTGGCAGAGGCTCGGGAGTCGGTGTGATCATCGGGTCCACGAAGGAGCCAGAGTGCACCGCACGGCGGGTTGGCTCGGGCGGGTGGACATGGGGGGTGGCCCAAAGGAGCCATTTGGGGCACCAGTTGGCTCCAAAAGGGGCCGGCCCCTCACCCCCGACTTGGGCACCCCCCATTCGAATCCACCCGCTTGGGGTCGCGGGCTCCTCGTGGACCTCGAGCTCCGCGTTGAGGACTCAGGCATCACGCACTGCGCGAGCCCGCTCCACCTGACCCGCACACTGGGGTCCGCCCGCCCGACCCGACTCGCCCGTTGGGGTCTGCCCGCGCAGCCCGGTCCGCCCGTGAGGGCCGCCCGCCCGAGCCGACCCGCCCGCCCGGGTCGCTGGCCATTTCGATGAGGCGTCGTATTCGAGGGGCCCGCCTGCCCGACCCGACCCGCCCGCTGGGGCCCGCCCGACCCGACCCGCCCGTTGAGGACCGCCCGCGCAACCCGACCCGCCCGGCCCATGTGAGTGGGCTGATCGGCAGGTGCGCGTAGTTCGGCAACACGTACAAGTGATGTTTGGTTGGAGTGACTTTTGGTGTGGCCTGAGCGCGGTGCGATGGCAGCGCGTTGCACGATTGGGTTTTGCCTTCTCGCGGCCCCCGAAAGTTGCGCACCAAAGGTCACTCTTGCCTAGGGTCACTTTTTTGCGTGCACGGTCATGGCGCTGAAACACTGTCCAGCTCGGGTTCGGAAGGGGCTCGGTGGTTCCTCAGGTCTGCTCTCGCGTTCCCTCGCAAGTTTGCCAGGGAGCCCCCATCGGCGTCCCTGGGAGGTGAGGGACGACTTCCACAACGAGAGGCAACAGCTAGGGAGCGCCTCCAAAAAGGGGCCTGGCCGTTCCCTAGACGTGCGTGCCTCGATTGGGGGAGAAACAAAAATGGTGTCGTTCTTCATGTGGCAGCGCCATGACGGCACCCGAGGTGCGCGCAGTGCGCCGTGGTCTCCAGACCCGCCCGGCCGCGCGCGCCCGGGGGGCGCGGAGATGGCGGGGCCAGGGCCTCTCCCGTCCTCCCAGGCCAGGTGCTGTGGGGCGGTGTTCCTGTCGGGGTGGCTCGATGGCCGGCAGCTGCTGCGGCGTGGTGGTTCGGGGCTCACGTGACGGGGGCCGATGCAAACGGCGGTCCGCCAGAGCGCAGGGTCTTGCGGGAGCATGCAGAGCCAGGGGTGCACTGACCCCGGCTTGCGCGCAGGATCTCGCAGGGTCGTGTAGGACCTTGCAAATCCTGACTGGCCCAGGTTTGCGTTGACCCGGGCCTGAGTGGTGCGTGGCGCTGGCGCAGTGGCGAAGCGAAGCGTCCTGGCCTTCCCGTAGGCCCACCAAAGAAAAGTCTAAGATTTTCAGGTGATTTGTACGAGATGTTATTAGAGCATGTCTGGTTGTGACCGTCCTGTTTTAGCACGTCGGGCTAATTTGCTATGAGTAGTGTTGTGGTATTGGGAACATCCGTACGTTCTACACACATGTCGTGGTAGGCCAATAGGAATGCTGGCACGGCCAGCCACTACTCAAGTGGTGGTGCAATACGCTGGCCATGTGAAAGAAACGGACCTTGACGCATCTCGCCATTATCCTGCTCTGGGTTAAGGGGCGAAGAACGGTGTAAAAAAACTTGTTCGCCGTCGGGGACACTTGCCCCTGGGCGGCTGGAAAGTTTATACCCTTACGGTGGCACCGTAGGGGTATAAACTTTCCAGCCGCCCAGGGGCAGGTGTCCCCGACGGCGGAAAAAATTATTTTACACCGTTCTTCGCCGCTCGCAAACTGGGGGGGGGGGGGGGCCCGCGGGGCCCAGGACTGTCAAAAAAAAGGACTCGGGGTAAGAGTCGGATCTCGGGGAAGGCCCCGGGGTCCAGGGCCCGTTTCGCTCGGGACCCGCTGCCTTCGGGCCAAAACGACGTGGGGTTGCCTCCGCCCTGCGGGGAAGAGCCGCACGAACAACTCAGCGAACTCGCGTTTCTCAGAGCGTGAATTGCCTACCCCGCTTTCGCTTCCAGGCAAAACCAAGTCATACCACGCGCCTCCCCGTCGAGCGGCCTGACCAGTGCGGCCGTAGTTTGGCGTCGGTTGGTAGCTCTTGGAAGCGAGGGTGGTCAAAAGCGAGGTAGGTTCGTTTGCACCCTAGCTTCTGCCTTCAAAAGAAGACAGACTGCATAAACATATAAGCTGTGGGAGCTACGCGGAGATCTCCGAAAGTGCATGTGTATGCGATGTGTTGTGTTGCTAATGTTCCACCGTGTTCATGTCATGCCATGTTGCTGCATCTCGTCTTCCCTTCCTTCCCCCTCCCCCCCTTTTCTTCCCCCCTCCTCCATCTGGCAGACTCGCCGAGGTGCGGATCACGCATGCGACGGCCTGCAGTAGATTGGTGCGGCATATAGACGCCGCAGCGATGCGCAGCAGAAAATGCGCCATGGTTAGCAGCCCCTCGAGGAAGAGAAGGAAGGAAAAAAAGGGGTGGGAGGAGGAGGAGGAGGAGGAGGAGAACCAGAGTAACCAGGATGCAGTAGCGATGTTGCAATACACCATCCCGTCCCAAGTCCCCACCTGATTCTCCTACCAGGCAATCAGTAACCCCACTCCCCATCAGGAAAGTGTAACGCTTCCGGCATCGGGACCCAGGCGGAAGCAATATGCCCCGCAGAGGGTTTCGACACACTCCCTCAACGGGCGCCATGAGCCAGGGGTCCTACCTTAGATGGGTGGGGGAGAGTTGCATCAGTTTTGAATGCAGGTGGCGTCTTCCGCTTTGGCCATAGCGCTACGTTGAGATTCGCTTCGCCCTTGGAGATTATTCGGGTACGAGCTAAGATGTATTCGGGCGTCCTTCGGGATCGCCTTGAAATTCCTTTGAACTGAATTTGTTGTTGGGGTTCGTTTGAGGCGCCTGTGCGTGATGGACCCCCACTGCGACCACTGGGAGCTTGTGAGTTAATGTTTGATCAATGTGTTATCACATGGTAAAACATGTTGCTGGGAGCGTCGCGGAAGGTGTCCGTGATGTCCTTGCGTGGGCTCTCCTAATGGTTTCGTTGGGTGGACGTTAACTTCTGGATTGGATTCGAATGGTTCGTGTCCGCGCGAACTCCCGTCTTCATATTATCATGCGCCCCCATTATGTTACTCCTCAATTTGATTTGGCTTCCTGGCGAGACCCCGCGGCTTCGTGTTGATCCCAAGGGCTGCATATGAGTCTCACATCTTCAACTTTCTTTGCACTCGTTGTCACACGGCTTGGGAATGCGGCGGCCATCAAGTCGAAACCTTCGACCAATTCTTGTTGGCAACGTTCCAGGTCGGCGCCAGTGAACATTTGAATGTGAACCTATGCCTCGGTCACACTGTAGGCGAGGCATGGTGGCGGTGGGCGGAGAGAGATGCAGGATCCGTATCATTTCGATTCGACGATGGCATTTAATTCTGTGCAAAAGGCATCGCGCCCACCGCTAACGCAACTGGTACTCTTCTCTGGGTTCGTGCACGATGGAGCCCAGCCGCGAGGAGATCACCGGCACGAACACGCTCGACAAGGCGGCAGCGTGGGTGAGCCCAACTGAGCCCCAGAAGCTGGGCCTCTACCCCGCCCTCCAGGCGACTGGGGCCGAGCACCCTCGCGCGCTGGGAGGGGCATGCCGTCGTGGTCGACCAGGCCGCCCCCGAAGCGGGCGGCCCTCCTGATGGGGCACGTCTGCTGGACCGTGGCAGGGACCGTGCTCACCCGCGAGGAGCTCGGCAAGCAGGTTTCCCACGCGTGGGGGCCAGCCGGCAAGGGCAGGACGCAGCCATTGCGGAGGCGCTTAAGGCTGCGACCGCGGCCGCCCACGACGCTCGCGCGGCGGCGGACGCGGCGGCGAAGGCGGCGTCCGCTGGGTCAGCGGGCGGCGGCGCCGCGGCTCCATCAAGCGCTCTTCCTGGCATGGTCGACCTTTCTTCTGTCATCAACCAGGCCTCCAAGGAGGTCGTCAAACGGGTCGACGACGCCGTGGCGAGGCGGCACTGCGACAATTTCTTCGCGCAAGTGGGCAAGGCCCCAGACCCTTACCAGGAGCTCACCGAAGACCAGATCACCGGCGTCAAGCACGTCCTCGAGGCATGCACTTCTCCCCACCTCGACTTCGGCGTCTTCGGGCCGAAAGGACACAGACTCCTTCGGCGGATGCGCTTCACGGGCATGGTCAATTTCCCAGATGGCCGCACGGAGGTTGACGAGATTCTGGGCCCTGGTGATTTGGCCACGCGGGACGAGTCGCACGAGATGCCCCAGATCGCCTTCGCGGGGATAGGCACGCGAAATATCGGGAACCCCATCGCCTACCGCGGGCGGCTGAGCTACTTCAACGGCCTCCACGGGGTGGAGGCTTGGGGCCAGGTGCATCAGACCGATGCCCAGTTCAGGTTCGAGCACGCGCCCCGCCTGCGGCGCCGGCTGGAGCGAGAGCACGCCGCAGCGACCGTTGCGGGGAAGCAGGCGGCCGCCCCATGCAACCCGGACAAACCATTGGACTCGGTCTGGGTGGCCGCGGTCGCAGACAACAAGTTCTGGACAGACAATTTTGAACGATTGGCCCACTTGATCGTCTCCAGGGCGCAGCCTCTGAGCAAGCGCGCGAGCGGCGACGCCCCCGTCGCCCCGCCCAGCATTGGGCGCCCGGCGCAAGCGTCGGGAAGCGCGGGGCCGGCCGCCCGAGCGCCGCCGCCGCCGAAGCGCTTGGCAGGCGTCGATGCATGGCCCGAACAGCGGGGCCAGCAGCGGCCCCAGGAGAAGCCCACAAAGCCCACGACGACCGCTACACTACGAACACAGGCGGTGGCCCACCAGCGCTCGAAGCGCCTCGACCCTTCAGTTGGGCACTCGAATGCGGCAGCTGGCTTTCCGGCCTGGGCCCATCTGACCTGCGCCGCCGGGGCCGCCGGGGCCGCCCAATCTCCCTCCCTGGCGGGGCACCCCCAGGCCCCCCCCGCAGGGAGCCTGGGGGGCCACCTAAAGGCAGGATTTGGGCCAATCTGCTTTTTTGGGTGACACCCCATCAGGGCCCCCTCGCGGGCGGCCCGTCGATTTGGACGCCGCGGCTGGCACTGCAGCCTGGGCGCGCCGCCTTCGCGGGCACCGCAGCTGACTTTGCAGCCTGGGCGGGCCATCACACAATTGCCATTTGGATTCAGACGCGCGCGCCGCGCATCCCCCCGGCCCCGAGGGCCGCGACGGGCGACGCCGCCTCGCTTCCAGGGACGCATGCTTCCGCCCCTTCCAGCGGAGCGGGCGGCGGATGCCCATGCGCCCGAGGCCGTTCTGGAGCCCGGCAGTCGGCCGCTCGCCCGCCAGGCGGAAGCCTCGCCTGGTCCCTTCGCTGCTGGCCAGCGCGGCGCTGAGCCTCGGGCTCCCGCCGCTGCCGGTCTGGGGACACCCAGGGTTCGCTCATCTCTCGCGGCCCGCCCAGCGGCTAGTCGCGCCTGCCCGACCAGCCCCATGGACTCAGCTGCCCCGCTCCTTCGGAGGCGGCTCCGGCGCCTTCGCGGCAGCTGCCGCCGCGGGCCGGCGCAAGCGGCAAGCGGCAAGCCGAGGCGGCGTCGGGCGGCGAACCGGCCCCCCCTCGTGAGCGACGGGCGCCCCGTGGGCCTGCCGCTCGGGCGAGCGCCCCTGGCCTCTGCACGCGATCCGCCGCCCGTCCCCCCTCGGCGTGGGGAAGCGCAGCGGGGTGCCCCACCGGTCGTGGAAGGCAGGTGCCCCTCAATGATGAAGGGGCCCTGGGACACACAAATAAATACACACAAATACAAATATTCCCCATATTTTTCTATATTTTTGGGGTTTTTGTTTTCCCCCCCACTTCCCATATTTTCCGATATTTTCTGGGGAATCGTCGATTAATTGTGTCTGTGTGCTTTTTCCCCTCCTGAAATGATCCCCGCCGAGAAAAAGTGCACAAGTCCGAGCGACTCCCAGGCTCCAGCCTGCTCTCGGCGCCCACCTGCTCCGACGATCGAGCGGCTTCACCTTCTCGTCCGTCCTCCTTCGGGGGCGGACGGAGCCCGATCTGCTCTCAGCGCCTTCCTCCCTCATGCTTCCGCCGACCTCTTCCGACCGAGGAGTGGGATGATAGAGGCCGAGGAAGTGTCCAGCGATAGCCCCGCCATGAGCAGGACCTGGCCACCAGCCCTGTAAGTGTGTTGCACAACTGGCAAGTTCTGATCGGCAGGGTCTGCGGCTGCTTCCGGCGAGAGACCCATTCTGAACATGCGCCGCTCTCCACCGAGGAAGTTCGAGGAAGTCTCGACCAGGTGCCAGCTCGAGGAAGTCTCGAGGAAGTTCGAGGAAGTCTCGAGGAAGTCTCATGCAGCGCAGCTGTTGCCATCCAGTTCGAGGAAGTCTCGACCACGAGCCAGCTTTTGAAAACGAGCGGGCCTCCATCATCCGAGAGCTTCAGGAGGAAAAGAAACACACAGACACAATTGATCGTCGATTCCCCAGAAAATAAAAGAAAATGTGGGCTGTGGGCGGGAAGACAAAAACCCAGAACAGATTGGAAAATATGGGGAATCTTTTTATTTGTGTGTATTTATTTGTGTGTCATTGGGCCCCTTCAGAGTTGTTGGAATGCTTGCAACGAGTGTGTGTACGCGCGGCGCGAGGCCGAGAGCCGCATTCTGAGACCGTGTGGCCCTCCCTTTTGGGAGCTCAGAGAATGAATGCGCGCGGCGTCAGTGCGTGAGCCGCATTCTAATAGCGACCGGCTGCCGAGGAGGAGGAGGAGGAGGAGGAGGAGTTGGAGGAGGAGGAGGCGGAGGGGGAGGAGGAGGAGGAGGAGGCGGAGGAGCAGGGGGGAGAGGAGGAGGAGGAGGAGGAGGGAGGGAGGAGGAGGAGGAGGAGGAGGAGGAGGAGGAGGAGGAGGACGGGAGGAGGAATAGGAGGCGGAGGGGGAGGAAGACCAGGAGGAGAGCCGCATTTCAATAGCGACTGGCCTCCATCTTAGCATTCGCTTATCAATGTATGCAGCCCCACGGCGAGAGCCGCATTTCGAAAACGGTCGGCCCTACACCCTTTCAAGTGTTGGAAGCTTTGACAATGCATGTGCGCAGAGCTGGCACGAGAGCCACATTTGGAAAACAAGTGGCATTCCATGTTTGTAAAGATTAGAAGTGTTGTTGGCATTATAGTTTGTAAGAGATATGAAGCAAAATGTCTGGCCCAGCATACGGACACGCTTGGTGGTGCAACAGGGGATTTGTTCAGAAGGGGGAGTGACGAGAAGGAGCAGGAACAGCGGCAGCATGAGTAGGATGAAGGGGAAAAGGAAACAGACGCGGAGGAAAAGCAGCAGCTGGATGACGAGGTCGAGGGCGAGAAGTGGAAGGAGGAAGACGAAAACGAAAAGGAGGGGGAAGGGGGACAGACGGCAAAAAACGAGACGGAGAAGAGCGAGGAAGATGGAGCATCTCAACCCCCTCCTCCCCCACATTCCCCTCACCTTTCTCGTTCGCTCCTCCTTCATTCCTGCTCCTCCTCCTCCTCCTCCTCCTCCTCCTTCTCCTCCTCCTCCCCCTCCTCCTCCTCCTCCTCCTCCTCCTCCTCCTCCTCCTCCTCCTCCTCCTCCTCCTCCTCCACCTCCTCCCTCCTCCTCCCCCTCCTCCCCCTCCTCTCTCCTCCTCCTCCTCCTCCTCCTCTCCTCCTCCTCCTCCTCCTCCATCCCTCGCCCTTAATCTATAGGTGACATGGAGGGCTGCTACAGGGGGGGGCGGCATATATGCTATACGTAAGCAGCCCTCCCCAGTGGCGCCACCAGACACCTCGCTAGGGCTGGCCAGGCGTTTCTCTTGAGACGTCCCCAGCGCTTACGATCACGAGGCTTGAAACTTCCAGCTGCAGCTGGCTGTTGGCATCACGGGGCCCGCAGGCACAGCTGAGCTCGGCTCTTCTGTTCTGCTCAGTCCCGGGCTGGGCCCGTGGAGTCCAGCAGCATTGCGGGACGAGCTGAAGGCCGTGAGCGTCGCAAGGCCATGTAGCGGAGGAGGCGCAAAGGGGAGCGAGATGGGTTAGCTAGACCAGGCTTGGCGGACAAGCTGGCGTGGCCAAGTGCGGAGGTGCTGTGTTTGAGGAAGGCGAGGGGGAGGAGGAGGAGGAGGAGGAGGAGGAGGAGGAGGAGGAGGAGGAGGAGGAGGAGCTGAGCTGAGTTCCGCAGCCGTTTGGGCTCAGGTTGTTGTGGCGCAGTTTTTTGTTGGGGCGCAACCCAACGTGCAGTAGCATTGAAGACTCGGTTTCGAACGCGAGACCAGGCTAATGGCGCCGCTGCGCTGCAACCTCGCCTCGGCTCCCGCGAGGCATCGTCTTGGGGGCGTGGCGGGCAAGGAGGGCCGCGAGAAGATTGTTTGGAAGGCCACATTCATCGACGTGGACTTCGAGGTGGGCAACGACGAGCGCCAGGGCTCGCTCAGTCCTCGGCCCTGCAGCGAGCCCTGCAGCGAGTCGTCGTCCTGCCGCAGCGCGTTCTTCGACGCCGACCGCATGCGCGCTGCTGCGCTGTCGAAGCGCATGGACGAGGCGTGGGCCTCGAACAGCCGGGAGACGATGCGGAAGCTCTTGTTCGCAGGCCCGAGTGTCGATTCTTTGGGCCAGGCCCGCGAAGCAGGCGGGACCAGGCAAACGGCAACGCCATGTGGAGACCTCGCCATGGCTCCCGCGAGGCATCGTCCTGGGGGTCCTGCGGACAGGGAGGGCCTCGAGAAGATAAAGTGGAAGGCCACATTCATCGATGTGGGCAACGACGAGCGCCAGGGCTCGCTCAGTCCTCGGCCCTCCAGCGAGCCCTGCAGCGAGTGGTCTTCCTACCGCAGCGATTTCTTCGACGCCGACCGCCTGAGTACTGCAGCGCTGTCGAAGCGCATGGACGAGGCGTGGGCCTCGAACAGCCGGGAGGCGATGAAGGACAGCCTCGAAAAGCGGCGCTTGTCAGCAGCCGCGGATGCCATCCACAGCCCACCTGAGCAGCTGAGCAGCTTCATGCGGACCAAGTCCGAGAGCCTCGCCGACGGTGTCGTGGCCGCCGATCCGCCGGGCAAGCTCCCCGAAATCGTCAGAAAGTTGTCTGGCTCGAGGGTCACTGAGGAGAAGGAGGCGACTGGTGAGGGCTTTCGAGTCGTGCGCACACGCAGCCCCCCGGGCAAGCTCCACCTGGCCTCGACAGGTCCTCCGAGCAGCCCCCGGGCCGCCTCCACGCCCCAGCCTCGGAGCGCGGAGCGCCCTTGGTGGCGCCGCCAGAGGCGGCACGCCGGGACGCTGAGATCGCCCCAGGCTGCTCGGGGGGCCGGCTGAGGCCCGCGGAGAGCCTGCCCGGGACGGCGCGTCTGTGCGCCACCCGAAGCCTCGCCAGACGAGGCGATGCGGGTCAATCCGAGCGCCACCGTGCAGAGGCCCGCGAGGCCTGCCCTCGATGGCCAGGAGTCGGCGACCCAGCTGTGGGCCATGCCCGACAAGCCCGAGCAGGTCACCAGGGAGGCGGTTGGCCAGGCGGCCGGCACGCTGGGCTGCGTGGAAGGCGGCGGCGCGGACGGCGCTCTGGCGGACCCCTGCGGTCGGTGGCAGGCCAGTCCCGCCCCTGGCGCTGGGTGCGCCCACCACTTCAATCCTGGGAGCCTGGGCCACCCCGAGATGTGCGTCAGGCCGTGCCTGTACTTCTTGCAGGGCCAGTGCACGAGCGGCAGCGAGTGCAGGTTTTGCCACTGCCAGCACCCGACTCGGCCGGTGCACCTCGGGAGGTCGCACAGGAAGACTTTGGAGGCGGCGACGGCAGATGAGTGTTTCGCCATCTGTCTGCCCATCCTGGAAAGGAAAATGATCTCGCTGCGCTTGGCCACGGACACCCTCCAGTCGCTGGCTAGCCAGCAGGGCGCCGTTCTAGGTGGGTCTCCCATCGGCACTAACAGCCGGGCCAAGTCTCGGGGGCTGCAGTCTTTGGAGAAGGTTTTTGCGGCTTTGTCCATGCGGACGCTTTTGGTGGTTATGCACAGGAAGATGGCGGCGCATGATTCACGCCAGAAGACCCTGCTGGACGCGCTGACTCAGAAGTTGCGCGAGACGGGCTTCATCCTTGAACTCGGGGAGGAGCTCCGGGATCACGCTTGAGGCTCGTCCTTGGTCTGTTTTTCCTGCACTCAGCAGCACTTGGTGAGACAGCCCCAGGAGGCGCGGCTGCGGGCGTAGCCCAGACGCGCAGCGCCAAGTCCGAGGCCCAGAGTTCGTGAAGCGGTGCGCGTTAGCCTCAGCAACGAGCTATCACGGGCCCCGCTTCGGAGCGTCCATGCGCGCTCTGACCGTGAGCGCGTCAGCACGGCTAGGTTGCGTCCGATCTGCGTCCTTGTTTCACCACTGCATCGGCCAGGCATGTGCCAACATTGAGCTTGCACGCAGGACCCTTCGGGCCATTCGGGTCAACCTGCCTTTGCCCGAATGACCCACATGGCCTGCGTGTGGGATCACTTCACGCATGCCGGAGCTTCTGGGACATTTTGGTATGCCTGGCACCCCAGGCCACTACAGTCGGGGCCCTGAAGAAGGAACCCTGTGCGTTGGGGAGGGGCTCCGTGTTCCTTAATTGTTTCACAGTTTGCTTCTGTTTTCCGTAGGTTTTCGATGGGAAATCGAAGTTTAACTCATGGGAAAAAGGGGCCTCGTTCCTTATTTAGGGTTCCTTAGGTCAACGCCCCGACTGTAGGGTCACTCGGCTCGTGCGGGCAACGCGCGTAGAATTATGCCCCCTGCGGACCGAAAAGGCCGAATGACCCTTTTATGGTCTGGCGTGCGAGGCCTGCCGAGCGCATCCACGGGACCAGTCGGGTCGTTCAGGTCATTCGCGCTGGCACTCGGAGGACCTCAGGCATGAGATTGCGATTGTGAGTGATGGTAGTGGTGGTAATGGTGCTGGTGATGCTCATGGTGATGTTCATGGCGATGTGCATGGTGATAGCGCCAGGGACGGCGGGGATGATGAAGGTGATGATGACTGTGACGATGATTATGATGATGGTGATGATGATGGTAATGATGATGATGATGATGATGATGATGATGAGGGTGATGTTGTTGATGATGATGATGATGATGCTGATTATGACGATGATGCTGGTGATGGTGATGATGACGATGATGGTGATGGTGATAGTGATGATGATAGTGGTGGTGATGATGATGTTGATGTTGATGTTGATGTTGATGATGTTGATGATGATGATGACGACGACGATGATGATGATGATGATGATGATGACGAGGAGGAGGAGGAGGAGGAGGAAGAGGATGATGATGATGCTGATGATGATGATATGTTGGTCATGCTGTTCTGTCAGTTTCCTTTTCCTCCCCCAGCCGCCCAGGGTTTCCTGCGAGGGGAGGGGCCCAGATTTCCTTCTGGTCCTTCGGGCGGCACGCGCGGGCGCAGAACCACGCCCTGCTGACCCGAAAAAGCACTTGGCATCGCTCGGACGTGTGCATTTTTCCTTCGGCGAGAACCATCGAGGAGCATCCTTGATCATTTGGCGAAAAAGCCACGCACGAAGTCGATACAAGCACAGGGAATGGACGTCCGAGCGACGGCGAGGACTCGGATGGCCAGCGCGCGCGGCATCACAGGCGCGTCCGCAGGACCCACCGGGTCCTTCGGGCCCTTCGGGCCTCGCACCCAGAGGAGATACCGACGGCCCGCCCGCCCTCCTGCCGCGCCCGCCGCCGAAGGGACGCCGCCACAGAGTGGGAAGGCGAGGAGAAAAGGTCACCAGAAGGAGCGGAGGGAAGAGGAGGAGGGAGGAGGAGGAGGAGGAGGAGGAGGAGGAGGAGGAGGAGGTGGAGGAGGAGGAGGAGGAGGGAGGAGGAGGGAGGGAGGAGGGAGGAGGAGGAGGGAGGAGGAGGAGGAGCAGGTGGAGGGGAGTGGGGACGGCGCAGGCCACGCTCGCCATATAACCCCCCCAAAGGAAAACTTCAGGAAAGGGTGAATGTGGATCTGGCGCCGCAGTCGTCGTTTTTGGAGTCCGCCCGCGCGGCGCGGCGGAGGCACCACGATCGAGAATCGGGGATTCCAGGTGCTTTCGGCTTCCTCTCGAAGGGGACCTGTCATCAGCACCATCACAATTTTTTATCATTGACCCGCCCGCCTGCACCCATGCCAGCAGAGCCAACCTTACGACAACGGTCCTCATCGTAACCATCAGCATCGCTATACCCACCCATCATTTATTGACCCGCCTGGCCTCTCGCCCCGCTTTAGTAACCCGCCCGGACGCCGCCATGAAGATCTTTATCGCAGTTGTCAGCATCACCATGACCATAACCACTTCAAGAAATAGCCATTGTGGCTCAACTTGAAACGCCATGCCTTGGGCGCCTGAGTTTAGACAGGGCAGCGGGGCTGGCTCGAGGTGCCGGCCTTCAGGACCGCCTCCAAACAACACGACTCTCCTGACGAGCTCGCCCGAGCAGCAAGGAGATGTTAGCTTTCCGGTGTGTTGCATGTTGCTTTGTCCACTGTTACCATCAGCAACATGGCCGTCACTATGGACGTGACGCGCACCCTTTTTTCCAGGAGCAGGTGGCGCCTCTCGGAGATAGAACCAACAAACACGGTGGCCATCAATGTCCGTGAACCACGTTAGGAGTTCGAGCGAGTCGATCAACGACCACCCGCATCAACCGAGGAAAATCCAGAGACGCTCGCTGTTTGAAAAACCCGAACCATTCGGCCGAGTACGACTATTTGATCACCGCGGTCCAGCTCCACACTACCATGGTTACCGACGACGACACCTTGTGGCACCGACGAGCTCGGCGAGGGTGGGCGCCCTCCTCCCCCGCGTTTTCTTCGCGGAGCTCGCCAATCTGAGCTGGCCGACAGGACGGAGACCTTGTTGCCCAGAACGGCGCTTTCGACGTCGGCTCCCGAGGCGAAGCTGCTCGCGAACCCCTGAACGGCATAAGCCCTCCCAGCGGCGGCCCAGGGGCCCCCTGGCCTTCGGCGAGCAGCCAGTTGGAGCAGCATTGCAACATCCTCAAGATCCGCACCCACAAAGCTCGCCAACAAGATAAGCTTCTCGGGCAAGGAACTCAGTTTTTTCATTCCATCAAGCTGCCGACGGAACAGGAGGCAGGCCAAGCACGGGCCACCTGCAATTGCACCGACTTCAGCTGGGCCGTAATTCGGCACAGCCAGGTTCATCTAGTGCGCGTTGGACGCAGTCAATCTTTTTCCAGTTCGCCAGGAGCCCCACGTCCGCGGCCTCGCCCACTCCATGGCGAAGGACGACGCCGACGCCGAGAATGCCCGGCGACTTCCATGCGCCCGCGAAGCAACCCGCCCCGAGGATGGCGACCTTTGGGGCCTCATCTCCGCGAAGGAGGTAGGCGACAGCAGATTCGAGCTCAGCCCAAGCCCCCCCAAGCTGCAGCACTGCAGCACTTCGGCGCGGGCGGGGTTCGCGCTGAGACCCTCCGCGAGAGGACGCAGTCGAAGCTCGGGGCCTCGCGCCAGCACTAGGCTCGCGCCAGATTCTGCTCGCGCTCGGCGAAGCTTTCCTGTTGCTTCAGTTCGCGGCGGGGGTGCGGCACGCTACTGGCCCGCGCGTTCGGCCAAGAGGCCCGCGTCGACCCCGTTTCAAATTCGACGAGCCCTGAGCGTTGCATCCTCAAGCTCGGCTGCTTTTTGCGCAGTGCATATGCCAGCCACGACGGGCAGCTCGCTCGTGCTCAAATTCCGACAAGCCCCAAGCAAGTTCGATACTCCCACGCGCGAGAGCACCCACGCAGCCCAAGATGATCCCGGAACCTTTCGAACAGCAACGCGCCCCCCGACGGATCGGGCCCTTCCATCCCGACGATCGGGCGGGCGGCGTCGCGAGCGACATCCACCCGCTCATCATTTCTGCCAGGCGGCGCCCAGCCGCCCGCCCCCCTGCCCCAGCGGGGCGACGCGATGATCATGGATACACACGCGGAGCCCATTATCAGGCATCAGGAGAAGCGCGACCCGTTCATCCCTAAATGCGCGCCCGCTGCCTTCGTCGACTGGAACACCCTGAGAGAGGACGGAACTGCGTTAGACATCGCGTCGACGGACCCCGCTCGCCCGCGAACCCCGCGATCGCATTAATTTGCCCGGCAAGGTTCTCCATCCGTTTTGGGGCGCGCCACGGGGCGGCGATGCCCATCGCGCCGCGGCCGACGACGCGGCCGTCTCTCTCGGGCGCCTCGACGCATGTCCCTTCAACGGCCCCGCCGCCGAGTCGCTGGATCTGCGCCCGAAACACGGGGCCCCCGGGCGCGCCTCCGACCGCGGGGGGAACCTCGGACCGCGACCCGGCGTTTGCGATGTTCTCGCCAGGGCCCCGCAGGGCCCAGGCCGCCCCCCCCGCCCCGCGGCCACCTCCCACCCCGAGTTCGACGAAGACGCGGGAGGGGCCCCAGGGGGCCGCATGCCCTTCCATCACCGCGCTCAAGAGGCCAGGGGCGCTGAAAGAGTTTCTTTGGCCGCCCGCGGCAAAAGCGCGCGTCGGGCGCTTCGCAATAGGCCTGGCCATTCGAAGCAGGGGGCGGCAGCGCGCCCCGAAGTGGCGCGAGCTGCACGCGCCCAGCACGCCGTCTCGACTGCCCGGCGCCACCGCGCCCTCCCCGAGCTCGCCAGCTCAACTTCCTCGGCCGCGCCAGTAGCGAACGGGCTGACAAGAAGCCCAGGGCGGCCCGGGGAGAGGGGCGGGAAGGGCGCGAGCCCGAGCCGTTCTTCGCTCGCACCAGCTTCTTCGCAGCTGGCCACCCAGGGGCCGCGGGCTGGCATTGCCGAGCGCAGCCTTTCCCGACGGGCCGATCAGTCTGCGGGGGCGTCGCGGAGAGCGCCGCTGCCCGGGCGCCTCGGCGGCGAGGGGCCCGCCTTGCCCCGCCGAACGCTCGCCCCGAATGCGACTCGATTCCCGGGGCCACGAAGCATGAGAACCCAGATGTTCCTCGCGGCATCGGCCGGCTTCGACGGCGCCCCCCACCCGCGACGCCCACCAAAATTATATAGCTCCATCGGGAGGGGGATTTCTCGCGGGGCTTCTGCTAACCCGTTGGATTTCCGCGCCCTGACGAGCGAGTTCAAGTTTGCCGGGCATATTTCTCCGTCTGGGGGCGCGACCCTTGGGGCCGCCGGGGAGTTCGCCGCGCCCGCCGACGGGGCCCGCCCCGCCGCCCTCGCCGATGCGGACGACAGAGTTCTGGCCAACAGAGATAGCGCCTCCTCCAGGCGCAGGCCCGAGACGCCGCCGCCAGGACCCAAAGGGGGGGCCATCAAAGGAGGGGGGACCCTGGACAACGCCACCGATGGCGATGCCCAATATTTACAACCAGCCTGCTTC